AATCAAAGCCAATTAAATCCAATTATGACCAATTATGGATAATTAGAATGCCCCAGAGATTGATAGCTCAGAGAGATGAGGCAGCGGGCTGTCACTTTCAAGAAACCGTGACACTCATCGTTTTTTTTTTCTTTCTTCGATCACTTGCTCAATCTCTGTCCAAGACATTGTGCTGGATCTTTTCAAAGGATGCCTGCTGACTTCAAAAAGACTCCACGATAACAGAGCAACCTAAAAATACAAATAACACAGGACTGCTTTTTCCTTTTTCTTGCTTGCCCATCTGCGTTCTCTCCTCCATTACTTCCAAATTATGGAGGTTCCCACTGAAAACTGAAACACTGGAACAGAGTGACCGCCAATCTACAATGTGCTGTTACCACTGCCAGTTCAAGATGGTTTTCCTTGCTGCTTTTCTAAGATGTATGACCACTTTGATTGTCAGCCATTTACCACAAAACAATCTGCTCTTTTGACAGTTGGGTATTTTGGTAATGTGGTTTGCAAGCTTCAAGCAAGAGGAGGCAGAGACCTGCTTTTATTCCCAATTCCAGATAATTTCAAGAGTAATGTTCTTAAAAATATCAAATGCTGTTAGGCCTGGATTTTCTGGTGTTTCCCTGTATGGTGAATGTTTTTGCAATAGTTCAAGCCCTCTCACTGGGTGCTATGGAATGTCTATGGGTTGTGTTATTGTATGGCTTTAAGTTTCGGACTGCCAGGGTATTGATGTTTGACTTGGATTGATACGAGATACACGGACACACATTTTCATCTTTTAGACATTGCACAGACATGGAGAAATGTGGAAAATGAAACAGGTTTTCAGTTTAAAGTCAAGCTGACATTCTTGAGCTCCACAAGTCCATTGCGTTTGTCCATAAAACCACAGGGCTCCTGTCAGTCAAAAGGTCAACCTCTGACCATGTCCTGTCCCGCCCCTTGTTATCATTCAGTCCACTTAAGGTAGTTATAGCATAGCCTTTCATTTCAACAATTCTGTTTTCCATTCCACAGAGCAATTGATGTTATCGTTTTGATTAAAATCACTGCTCAGATATTTGGCTCTAATGGCTGACAGAGAATAATGAGGCATGTTCCAGAAAAAGTCCAGCCAAGATAAAGTGCATAAAGTGCGGAGCATAGGCTTTTGCTGTTTTGAGCATTTTGAAGATTGAAATAATTACTACAAAATACTCACATAAAAGCTTCCTTCTGTTTCACTTTGTCAGATTTCCAAGTTGCCTGCAGGCTCTTTGCATAGGACCTGAGTAGGACTGAAATAACCTCAGCCACAAAAGGTGGTGACCTAACTTTGGATGAACCCCATCACTGACCATCAGATGAAATTTGTTTTTGTTTTTTTGGGTGCCTTTTGACATTAATCAGTCTTTCTTTGCATTTCTTTCTTTCTCTGTCACACTTAAAATTAACTCTCTTCTACATTTCCTCCTTTCTCTTGGGTTATATAAGTTCATATATATCACTGTGTGTTTGGGGTGGAGGGTTCAAAGGAAACATGGAGGATAAACAAACAGACTTGCAGAACTGTAGAAGGCTCGGCACTGATTGCCCGGCTTAGATTGACTCTGCCCTGGTTTATTTGTGTATGTCACTGAGATAAACATCACAGTAACCCTTCGACAAGAAAAATGAACCTGCGAGAGGATGAACGCTCACACTGGTGAGCAGAAACCACTCACACATGTATAAGTGTACATGTTCAGATGTAAAAATTACCCACAAACACATAGGCTCTCTATTTTACATACACACACACACATTCCTTCCTGCCTTCCCTGGCCCCTGCGATGAAGAGACCTCTGTAAGAGCTGTCAGTCAGTACTGGTCACCATGGAAGTGACTGGAGCTTTTAACAAAGACTCTTAAGAGTTTCTCACAAGGCAAAGGGAAGGCACACAGAGAAAAACAACAAAGAAGAAGACAGAAACAGACAGCGAGAGACTTATCGGGAGGCAGATCAACACTCGCAAGGCACAGAGATTGACTGACTGAGCGAGTGCGATGCCACGCAGATGAAGATGGATTGAAAGGATGTGATGGACAAATGAGACAGAAACATACTGAGATAAAGAGGTTGGGAGGCAGAGTTGAAGAAGAGTTGGCAAAGAGGAGAGAGAAGCTGAAGAAGTAGAGACAGAGAGGGGAAGCAGATTTTCTTCCATTGCCAGACAGCCTAGCAAGCCTCATTAAACACTGCTGGAAACACACTAACACACACACATATATACCCCAATATACACACAAATATATACGCTGCACATGTACAAATCAAACTTTTCCAAGTTTTTTCTGTATATTTTAGGAATTGAAGGCCAGCATGGGTGTTGGTGGTTGGCTGAGGTGACAAAAAAAAGCCAGAGGGAGCGTGGGACAGTGGGTCAAGAGGTGAGGGGTCAACGGGTGCAAAGGCCTGGGCAATGGGCCTGTGGCTACGAGGTCAGATGGATGTATGGGCCTCGGGCAGAGTGCCAGGCTGAAAGGCACTTGGGTGGGCTTACTGTGGGTCTGATGGGAGAGAGAGGCATGGAGTGGTGGGTGGAGGTCCAGAGGGTAAGGGTGGAGATACACAGTGGAGGATTTCCTAAAGCCAACTGAGCATCAAAATAACCCATCCATGTGATGTTTCCAAAATGTGGTAATGTCTAATAAAATCTCATTCACAATCCTTTGCCAAGAAAGCTCTGAATTTGGGTGGAACAGCTCTAAGTTCAGCAAGAAGAGCGCATCATGAGAAGAGAAGAGAAGAGAAGAGAAGAGAAGAGAAGAGAAATGAAGAGAATAGAAGAGAAGAGAAGAGAAGAGAAGAGAAGAGAAGAGAAGAAGAATTCATGCCCAGAATAAACAGTTAAGGAATACCACCCCTGTAGCTAAACTCTCTCTCTCTCTTTCTCTCAAACACTCACATTCACACATACAAACCAAAGTCCTTCTCACACAACCCTGTGCCTACTTTGACTCAGTTTAAAACACTTTTCATCCCAGTTTTGACTTGAGAGACAGAACTGAGAGGCAGTCAAGCTGCTCCTTAGGACTCAGTGACACAGTGATAGAAAACAGCACAGAGCAGTGACAGACAGAGTGAAAGGGAGAAAGAGAGGGGAGGAGGAGAGACAGTGAAAAAAGACAGAGGCCTTCAGTGGAATAGAAAAATACCCACAGAGAAAGAAAGAAAGAAAGAGAGAAAGAGAGACTTTTTTGAAAAGAGGCTGAGAAGGTGAGAGAGAGCCAAAGAGAGGAAGAGGAAGGGGAGGCCAAGAAGAAGGAGAAAGAGTGAGGAGCAGGGCAGAAAAAGAGAAAGCTAGAGAGTTAAAGAGATTACTTTCAGGTTCAGAGACACTCTTTCTGGCTGCTTACTGGCTGTCACTCAGTGCCTGGCTCCTAGGGGGAGGGACGGCTGGCTCTCATTGGTGTCATTCACCTGTCTATCAGCCTGACAGGCGGACCATAGGGCCCCATGTTGTGGTGCGGAAACTGTCTGTCAGCCACGCAGCAGCTGCATATGACATCATCCAAGATCAGGTTTGGAACACGCATACACCAACTGTGTGCGTGACAAAGAACATACACACATATATGTTAAATATGGAAATTCAGCCTATGGTTATAACATACCGTCAACACCTTTTGCTCTCCAGCAGCACACACACGTACATGTTGACACAAACCTTGACTCCCTGTGGATTACACCCCACAGCCTTGCCAATACCCTGGCTGTCCTCCCCTCCACTTTGTACCCCAAAAGCCCTTGTTACTGGCAGGACAACAACCCTAGGACATCTGCACACCAGAACACACATACAAGTACACTCACACACACATGCATCGGCACATACGACAGCTGGACAGTTGGACAGCCAAAGAGGAAAGACAGATTTGTGCATACATCTTAGCTGTAATTAGCCACATACACACAAACGCAGAAGGAGATCAGAATATGAATAAACCCTGTCTCGCTTACCTAAACACATACACACACACACACACACACACACACACACACACACACACACAGGACACACACATAGCTCTCATAGAGAAGGCTTGGCAACGAGACAGCACCCATCTGTTTTGAGCTAATTTAACATGGTCACTAAAACAAAGGAGACAAAGGCCCGTCTTGTGAATAATGATGAAGTGACTGTCAACTGAAAAACACTTCTGGCTCTTGTGTGTACAATTTACTCTGTCCGTCTCTATTGGTCCACGCAAGTACAAAGAATACAACATCGACACATTTAAACCAGTGAGATGTGAGCTCCTTTTGAGTACTTGGTCTGATTGGGAGGTGCACACATTACACACACTACCTCACTGTAGTAATTGTATTATGTATGATGAATATAAGACATTTACAGTATAAACAATATCATTAGAAGAGTCTTGGTTAGGTACAGTAAAGATTTTTGATCATCGTAATGATGATGATAAGTGTATTGTCACAACAAATGTACTGAGTATATTCTGCCAATATTTGCTTTATACAATATTATATGCAGTGGTAGAATGTAACTAAGTACATTTACTCTAGTAAGTACCATACTTAATTGTAATTGAGGTCTGCTTTTTGCTTCTTTATACCTCTTCTTCACATTTCAAAGGGAAATTATGTACTTTTTACTCCATTATTACAGTTATAGTCACAAATTAGGTACTCAGAAAAAGATTTTACATGCACAACATCTGATTACTTTATAAAATATGATGCTTTGTTGTAGATTTATCTACATAAAATCGTTAGAATTAGCTCTACCTCAACCAACCACAACATTTGACTACTGCTTACATGTCAATGCATCAATAATAATAGTATTGCAATACATTTATAAATGTGTAACATACCTGGGACTATTTTGCACGATAATTATTAAGAATTACTCTTCATGCTTAAAGTGATTTTGTTGACAATACTGCTGTACTTTTACTTATATCACATAGTATCAAAATAATAAGAATCAGAATCAGAATCAGAATCAGAATCAGATATACTTTAATAATCCCGTGGGGAAATTACTTGTGGGGGGAACAGGGGGGGGAGAAAAACAAGAGGAGAGGGGAGAAGAAAAAAGCAGCTCCCAGACTCTGCTCCTGTAGGGGAGTACAGTGTGGGACATGGAAAAAACCTCAGCAACATAAGCACATATGATCACACTTTACAACATAAAACTCAAAGCAACTTGCAACTGGGAGGTGGGAAAGGGGGGTGGAGGCGCACCAGCGCAGACAGGCACAATAATAGTATTTTTACAGAATAGTATTGCTACATTAATTTAAGTAACCAGTATACTGGTACTTTGGTACTATACTAGTTACTAGTTACTTTGACAAAATATATAATAAGCTTTATAAATATTACGTATTTTTCTAAATTAAAGTACCCAACAGTATTAAACAAACTTTACTTTTAGTTAAGTAAAAGGTGTAAATAATGTACTTCTTCCGCCACTGAAATTAAGGTAACATTATTACTGTACACGCCATGAGATCAGGCTTCTATAGACACAGACAGGCTCACGTGTGTTCATACAGGCACACACTAAACACAAACATACACAGCGGATGGGGAAATGGGAACCGTTGAACCATATCATTGTGACAGCTATTATGACGGATGACTGTATCATCTTAGAAAGGAAATCCCTCTCTCTCCTCACTTGTGTCTTTTGAGGTCTGATTACTCTCTGTCCCACCGGCTGGTCGCTGATTTTCTGTATTGGGGTCAAAAGGCGACATTTTAAAGGTTGCGGAAATAAATAAAACCATTACGCACATAGGCCCTCTTCCATTAAGCAACAAAGATTAGAAGCTAAAAGTTAAACATGCCTGGGTATCGCAGACATGAAGTGCACTCAGTTTATTTGTGTTATGATTTCTGTTCTTCTCAGTTTTGTTAGGCTGACATTGATGGTTGGAGTAAAATCCAGTAAAATGCCTTTTATGTTTTATGAAAACCACTTTTATTGTTGAAATGTGCTATGCAAATAAACTTGCCTTGCCCTAAAGTTACATTTTTAAGTGTTTTTGTTGTAAGTTTGGGTTTTTGTCTTGTATTCACTGCTGATTGAAGGTCAGTTTACCCAACTATTTATTTACACTGGTAATATTAGAGAGAGAATGTTTATTGTCTCTGTATGACCCCATTGATCTTCAGTTTACACCAATCACACACTGGCATGCAGACACCCTTTGTAGGAAACAGGCTGCTCTGCTGAATGTCCCCGCCTCCGCCTGTGATGTGTTGCCTGCTGACAGTTTTGTCCATTGGCGAAAGCAGCCAGGAGGCTGTTCATGCACCATGAAAGTCCACAGATTCCTTGAATGCCTTGCATGGATGCTCTGAGGGTTCAGAATGGTTGCCCAGACACTGTTGCTCACAGTTACATCTCATTCGGATCACATAAGTTCACTGCTCACAAAGAACATCCTGCTATTCGTATGCTGCCATTACTGATATTATCTCTGAATTTCATACCTTGATGTATCAGCTGAATGAGATCAAGCTGATGACTGTAAATCTGTAATCTTATAGCACTGACCTTTGGAGTAATAAAAATGATATACGGCATGGACAAAACTAGCGATTTCTCCTAAGAACTGCTGAGTGGGAATGTTTCACCGCAGATACAAGCAGAGAGCAGCGAGCCTTTTGTACAGCTTTCTCGTTTCCTTTCTTCTTCTCTTTCCCTCATCTGTTTTTCCATCCCGGTTGTGCAGCTTAAAGCGATGTTGTTATTCCAGATGGCTTGGTGCTATATGGAGAACAGACAAGAGGAATACTTCATTGAAAATATGAAAATATGTCAGCATGCGGACATCATTATGGCAGCCCAGATCATTTAAGCGCCCCTAAAATTACCTCCAGACCTCATGGAGAAATATAATAATGTGTGTATGTGCACGCATGAAGGCTCACATGTATGCCTCCACATCTGTACAGAACTCAGATGTGCAGATTTCAAACACATGTCTGCCTGTTTCTCAGAAACCTTGATGGCAAATCATATCTAGTGCTAACCTAATTAGCTTTACATCTGGCTCAGAAGCCAAAAACCTGTGACAACATAGAGATAAATAAAAAACACAAGACAAACTGAGACACACAGGCTCCAAGGCAGAAATGTACTGCAAGAGCGAGATGTATGTTTTACATTCCTCCTCCGCTCACTGTTTTATATCACTCAGATTTGTGCAGGGGAACGAGTCTCCATGTGGGGCTCGGCCTCTCCCTAAATCTGCCTCCGGTGGGTCCTGAAAGTGCCCCTGTGCCAAATGAGCAGCGTAAAGCATGCCCCAAGGCATGCCCCAAAACGACACCCAAACAGCAAAGCTGTCAGCCCATGAGCCAATGCACTAAAACATGAGTGCAGCCGAACCATTGGGTTTTATAGCTTACAACTCCCAGTCACAAGCCCTCTAATGCCCCGTTTAACAAGCTGAAAATCCTCCATTTATTTCCCCTCCATCTCCCTTTAGGAGCTCCTCTATTACCATTCACAAACAAAGACTGGTTGAAATACACTCCATGTATGCTAGCGTAAATGGTGTTAATGCATGGGTGAGGCAGCTATAGATGGCGCTCTGTGTTTGCATGCAACAGTGTTTTCACAATAATTTTATCCTCATCGGGAAGAAACAGCTTCTCATACGGCGGTTAGATCTTCAATGGACATTAAAACTGTACTGTAACTGATCATGATGATACTGTTTGAGGTTTTTTTTAATGCTGGGTAGGTGTGTGTGTGTGTGTAGGTCATGTGCACACAAATAAACAAGTTGTTTAAGTGGATTGCAGCATATGGGAGAGGGAACTGGGGCAGAAAAAGAAATGGGAAGAGAAGAGATAGCGCTGTGGGGTTGAGGGGTCTGGGCAGAGAAGGGGTCACTCTCTCTGCTCTCCCATCATGAACACAGCAGATTGGATGAAGTCTTCATCAGCGTTACACTCCACCAGTCACAGTCCTGTGAAACCAGCACCGTGTCCCCAGTACACACACACACCCTCCTCCCCCTTCAACAATGGTGTCACTCATGGAGGCCAAAGAGACACAGGGAGTGTTCCATCATGGGTATTAGCTATGGGGATCAGTTGCTTTAAACAAGAGAGGAGGGGTGTGCTTTTGCTGCCTATCATGTAACAACGGCAGATGAATACCTTTGAAGTTTTGTCTCTATTTATTAGATATATTTCCCTTCCAAATTGGTTTGTAAGGACAATAATGTAGCAGCACAGGCAGGACAAATAATCCGGATTGCCTACTTGTTAAACATCATCCCCGATTTTTATGCATTTAAATCATCTCCAGATGTATATTATAATTTTGTTTCATTTTCATCATAGGTTTCACCACTTTCTATATAAGTGGAAAGCGTTCTTTCCACTTCATTTCATTTTACAACACGTACTGTGGGGTCCTAGTTTACCATCTCTGGGAGAAGAAATTAAATCAACTTCGAATGCACGACACAAAATAGCAATGAAAGCCCTGTATTAAGCAGATCTGGCTGGCTGAGTAGTTATATTTTCCAATGAGGTTTTGTTTGCTTGTTTGTTTTGCTATTTTTCCACCCTGAAATGCAGGGATTGGAAACAAGCAAACTATACTGTCTCAGTGGCCTAACGAACCAGTGGTCTTGGAGTGGGGAACATGCTCTGCGAGCCAAATTGTTTTTCCCTCATAACACCATCTGTTTTCTCCTAGTCAAGCATGGCAAATCAGGGGTCATCATCATTAATATGCGTGCTTGCTAAATCCTGACTGCACAATTTCCACGTAAGTCCTGGTTGATTTAAGGTTATGTGAATTTATCAACGCTAAAATTTAACTCACTGTATTCCAAACTTTCCCCTTTGAATTCCCAAACAGGGAAAAGGTGTGATTAGAAGTGAAGAAGTATGGAATGAAAAAACTAGAAGATGGCCCAAATGGGAGTTGTAAAACATCAACTCCCAGAGGTAGGTGGGAATTATGAATTCCTTCACAATTTTTACAGAAGACCAGTAATCCAAAGCACAGACTGGATTAGCCACACTCATCTTCACCAATACACCTCCAAACTATTTTCTTTGACCATGTGTTTATAGCTTTGGGAGGACATGTTTATGTTTGATGCCCGTGACAGGACTAGAATCCTCAAGAGTGCTATGATGTGGACAGGAAACTCTGAATCTCTCTCCCTCACAAACATCGTACACATTCTCCCTCTCCTCAACCAGTTCTCTAAAATAACAGCTTTGACACGATCTGCGCCGGCATCCCAGTAACTCGAGAGCAGCCTGCTCGAACGCGGAGCACTGAGGAATCCCGTGGCTGTGAAAGAGAGGCAGTCAGGGAACCACTCCACACTGAGGCGGGTAGAAATCGATGGGATAGATGGTATAGGGGGCCCACACAGGACCAACTGGGCCCTGGTAAGATACACCCAGGCCATATGGATAGGATAGAGGCCAAAGAGGTTGACAGTGGAGCTGAGTGTTTTTGCGGAGCTCAGTGTTTTTGCGGAGAGGAGCATTCACCACATGGCCTGTACAGTAGCGGTGGAATGGACTGGGACTTTTGGTGAGAGTGGTAAAATCCTTCTCCCTTCTTATGGTCACAGAAGTGCAGTCAGGCCTCTGTTAACATCTGTCAGCCATTGCCTCCCTCGCCCACCCCTCCTCCCCACACCACAGCAATTCAGCATGCCCTTTGACCTTAGACTGAAGAAAGAGAAACTGTGACTTTTTGCCAAAAACTAGCAAAGATTTCACTTCTTTGACTACCTCAAAAGGGGAGATGGATTTAGCTGCATGTCTGTATATGGATAAGTCAGTGTTATCATAACAGCAAATACTTGTTTGGCTCATGCTTAACAGTCCAGGAAAGAGGACTTTAGAGAGTACAGCTGTACGTTAGTGATTACCAGAGAATGTGGCAAGTGGAAACCCCTCGGGTTATTTAGTCTTTTCTAAAGTTTTGTATACTTAAATACTTAAATATATATATATATATATTCAGCATAAGTCATGTCCCATAGCAGTTAAAAGACTTTTAATTGCACATGCCAGCATGGAAATTCAAGCTGTTGCATATAATAGACAGAATATATTATTGTTGAATAGAGCAAGATTTTGATTTTCATTCCTGTTTAGTTAACCAGTCACTTCAACTAATAAGATTTGTCTGCGGTTTGGACAGTCAAGGCTCTGATCTACCGTCATCTCAGCCACGCTACCTCCCATGGGATCCAGACCAGCACCATAGACCCGTGGACACAGACCAGAGGCCTCATCAGCTCTCCCACTCCTGCCTCTCTCTGGGGCCTCAGGTTTCCTATCCATCCCTCCCACCCTCTCTGCTTCCAGCAGCCCCCACAGGCCTCCCTCCCTCCCCACATCAATTACAGCCTATCCCCTGTAGCGTCGGGCCCCTCCCTCTGTGACCCCGGGGGTTACAAAGTCAGGGAGGTCAGAGGTGGTTCGCCCCACTGCTACCCTAGGCATCTCTCAGAAGTCTCTGCGTCTGAAGCCCTGCGGCCCTGCGGGGCGACACCCACACGACCCTCGGCCAGCCAGGGGAGACAGGGATCCCCCCGTTCCATTGTCAACAATGGTCTGTTCCAGTCACTCTCCTCTAGCAGGCTAATTGTTTCGCCTAAGAAATATTTTCAATTTAGTAATTATGTTTGGGGTTCTCTTATCATGGGTCAGCCATGCAGTAGACACTCATAATATGCTCTGTAATCTGCAACTTTACTTGCTCAGTAATCATCAGTAAACATCTTCCACTTTCACCTCTTTTGCCCTGTGTAAATCAGTCCAAACTGCTGATTTAATTTTGTTTCTAGCAATATAATTTAGTTTTTTTTTTTTTACTGTGTAATGTTGAAAATATGTATTCTCACTTAAACAGTTATCCTTTCGCTGCAGTGTTTTTAGTAGATCCAAAATTAAATCAAATTAAAATCAAAAAACAAGTAAGAGTACTTATGTGTGTCACAATAGAAAGACATATTTCAGTTTTATCTTCTTACCAAAACACAAAGACCTAAAATTACTGAAGCCGACTTGTGTGTTCCAACCAAGCAACGGCAATATGAATATGGAAAAAGTGAGCTTGTGACCATGGAAATCAATTTCTAATGGGATAAAAGGGTTTACACACATCGATTTCCTGGAAAATACTGGAATATCGTAGGTACCTTGCTGAGAAAAAGTGCCAATATAATCAATTGTAATGCCTTCACATGCATTTTCTCGTGAGAGGAATATGAGCTCAATACTAAATGAACAGATGTTGTAGCAATTTCTACGTTAAATCTTATTAATTTTACCAAAGATATCCAAGAAGAGGAAGAAGTACAATTGCATTTCAAATCAATTTGACTGATTCAATGGTAAATCTCACAGTGAATGGCCAACAATGAAAGGATGCAGCACACAATCAACGTGGTTAAACAGCAAGTCGATGACTCAGGTCGTTTTGTTGACCACAGAGTTTTGACGTGGAACTCGGCCTCACAGAGCAAAACTGTATTTCTGTCATAGTACCCAGACCTCACTGTGTCAATACCAGACACATTATCTCTAATGGGGGAGTCTAAGGGTGGAGGGATGAGGAGACAGAAAAAGAGAGAGAGACACACAGAGAGACACAGAGAGCGTAGAAGGACGGTATCTCTATTGATTAACTGGAAGAGGACCTCCACTCCACCCTCTCCTATCCAGACATATGGGGTAATAAGGACCACTCTTCTCCACTGCCACCCCGCCTTCTCCTCTTCTCTCTCCGCTCTTCTCCCCTCACCCCTGCTAGAAAGCCTTTTAATCAGCCCCCCGAGGAATACATGGATATGATATGGGAGAAAAGGGATGGAAGGACAGAGGGAGGAAAAGGAGACAGGGTGAGAGGAGTCCATTAGTGAAGCAGACACAATAGCCACAGGAACAGAGGAGGTTTCCTTCAAGCACAGAAAAAGGCAGAGAGGCATGATAGGCCTGAAAACAAATACACACACACACACGCACACACACACACAAACACACACACACACACACACGCACACACACACACATCCTGTATGACTGCACACGAATTCTCCTCTTTCTTCCGCATGTGTGTACCGTACACGTCTGAACTGATATCGTTCCAAAGTTAGCCGGTCACATCATACAGGGCTGTTTTTCTGCTCGGCCAGGGCCATTTTCCTCTGTTTATGTAGGGCCCTTTCTGTTTTCTTTTCCAAGGAGAAGGCTGCCAATCTCTGCAAGCCAGACCAACTTTATCAAGGCGGCCATCTCAGTCTCTGACATCAAATCCAAGACTGCTTCTCATGCTGAAATTTTTTATTTATTTTTTTTACTGTCAGCGCCTCGCCCGACCGTTGGCCCCTCAGCCTCTGGACTCTAGAGAAATGATGAGAGAAAAGGAAGGAGGGAGGAGAAAATGAGGAAGAGCTCCAAAATCTGCGCCTGTTTAAAGCAGCTTTTTTTTTTTTTTTGATTCTGAGTGGGATGTTACTGATCATAAGTATATCTCCATTCAGTCAAAGAGCAAAGAGCCTGACAGAGCTTCAACATTTCAATTAGTGAACACAGCGAATAAGCCACAGGTCAGAGTTTAGGATACACAAAACCTGGACAGTAGCGCCCCCTCGTGGCCAATGCTGCACTATAACTTTAGAGGACAAAACAAATGCTTTGCAAAATGGTACAACGTTACAGACTAAAAGAAATTATTAAAAATTAAAGATTATTGTTTGTTTCATGGCTTGGTGTGGTAATAAAAACAGCAGTCCTAATTTACTGTCAACAGGAGATGTATTGCTGCTGATGGAATAAAGCAGGAACACTGCTAACTAGACTAACACAAAGCAGTCCGTTTCCTGCAGACCAGAGGGACACATAATGTAGAAAAGGTCTGCACAGCTCATCAGCATTAAAATAAAACCTGTATTGAAATCTAAAAGAAATAAAGCTCTGAAAACAACGAAGCATTTTTCATTATTACAACTCAATTTGCAGACAACGAGCCCGACGTAAAATTGCTTCCATATGCCTCCGCTGCGGGGCGCCACAGAGTCTGCCAGAACCGCTATATTAAGTATGACGGTGAAACACGCTCTGCGATTGGCTGATGCAGTGGCGCTGGAGCGCGAGTGGTGAGCCAATAGGAAGTCAGGATTGTGATTCGTTGTTTGATTGGCTGAACGCGGATGTCAATCAAGCAGCGACGGGGCTCTGGAGGCAGAGAGCAGCCAGTCGGTTGTTTTGCTCTCTGGAGGACAGAGCTCCGCTAGCTGAGCCTATTCAGCCACACACACACACTCACACACACACAGCTGCAAGTCAAACACACAGCACTGTTTTAAACACATTTACACTTGATGCGTTAAAGTACACAAATGTACTCAAATATTTGTATGGGCATATTTTATATTTTTGTATATTTATATATTCACAGACGTGGGTGAATTAAATTTGAAGGTAATGATGGTAAACTATTATTATTATATTATACCTCCTATTCATAAAAAGACAAATTATTGTACACACAATTACACACACAGTAGTATGTATCTAATGATACTTTTTTAACAAAATAATAATACTTATTGTTATGATAATTGGGGTAGTATATTATAGCCTATTTTCCATGAACAAAGTTGATCACAATAAGGTTATTTTTATTTGCTTTATATGTTAAAAATACAAATGTTTATCAAAATGACATTAAACAGTTAATTAAAAATTCTGATACATAAGAGGATGGATAGATCTTTTTCTGGCTTAATATTCTTAAAATACTTCATTATTTGGGTTTATTAGATAAAAAATATTCCTCCAATCATTATACATAGGCTTATATAAAATATTTTTTCAAACACCACATCAGTCCTGTAAAATCAAGTGATTAAATAGGAATACATGACAGTATGGAACAGTGTTTTGCTGTGCTAAATTAAACATCTAATTTAACCTGCAACCGATGCCACATACAGTATGTCTATTGTAGATTACTGAATAAAATAGGTTACCAATCAATAGGCTCATGTCCAAAATTAACATTTCTCATCCACTTTTCAAGAAGAGTGGAACTATGTGCTTCTCTGCCCCAAAGGTATTATAGGCTAATAAAGAATGCAATAAATAAATAAGATTAGACAAAAAATAATTATTATATGAGACAGTTAATTTTGGATTAGCCTTTGACTCAGCATCACCTTCAATCTGACCCGAGACCAGTGTGTAATAATGACTTTCAACGTTAGAAAGGTCATTCCTGGGGTAAAAAACAGAAAATAACTAAAAGAAATAGTCCCACGGAAGTCACCTCGATTTCCCTCAGGTTTCCCATGAGTCTTTGCGAGACACAAACTGGTGCGCACGCGCACTAGCCTCCTACACATCACGCATAATCCCACCAATCAGCTTCGCCCTGAGAGGAGTATGTGGTGGTGATTTAAGAGCTCTCCCCTCATAAATCTGTCAGAACTTCACAAAGTTGATTTAAATGTGTTTCACATCGTTATGAAAATACTTGTGGATTAATCAAGTGACTGCACGCTGGCGTCAGATCAATTGGAGTTGATTACTTTTCACAGCTTTTTAAAAGCGACGCGATTTGGAGCGTTTAGGGTCTGGATTTGTCGATCTGAAAAAAGCTTGGATGAGGCGGACCGCAAAATGTCACTTGTTATTTTTAAGGGGGGTGTGTGTTTGTTATAGCTTTGCAAGACTGATGCAGCGTATAAACAGCGTAGGACGCGATTACACAACAAATCTTCCAGTGATAGACTATACAATTTCAAATAGCTCTGAAATGTTCAAATTGTGTGAAAGTTACATTCTTGCACTTTGTTACAGTGTTGCAGCTGCATCCCAAATGAAGTGTGATGAACGTAGAGCACGCTTGACTTGTCTGCAATAGATTTGCGCCTGTTCTGCAGGAGGGCTCGACTGTCTGCTGTTGAGACTGTCAAGCTGACCGAGGCAATGTGTGTTGAACTTGCTGTTGTGTAGCCTTGTTATAGCCACTCATTATTGTTCCTAGTTGGTTACGATTTTATTCACTTTTATGTGATGACATGCCATATAAAAGTCTGTGTAGACTACTTCCAAAAGCTTTATTTTGGATTTTCATAGCACAGAAACTCTACAGCAGCCACACTCAGAGTGCTCAGTGCACTGTAGAGACCCAGAGGAAGTGTTTTTATTCATTTGGACTTCAACAGTTTATTCTCATTTTGCATTTATAAGATGAAGCCTAACGTCAGTGTCGTGACAGATCCTTTTTCCTTTATAGCCTACACGCGGTTCTCACATTATACGTCTAGAAAATTATTTTAATGTATCAAGTAAAATACCGCTTTCGCATAAAAAAGTCTTTGCTGGTGTGTCATTTTTTTTTATCAGTCAACATTGATAACTGATCAGGCTGTTAGACAAAAGGAAATAAATAACTAACCCAAAGAATGCAAAATATGTAACCTAACACCTCTTTCTCACTAAGAAAGGTTTACACAGCTGCAAAGTAGAAGTTTATAAAATATGAGTCACGTTTTTTTTGTAATTGGCCTAGTACTGTCCTGATTTCATTAGAGTAGTGTGGACGCGACTGAATATTGGTATTCATTAATGTTCCCAGTATTCACCAGCAGGAGTCGCAATTGAGCCAGATCACCAGTACCCACCTTCAGCAAAGTCCAGCAGGGTGACTTGGCGTCTGCAGCCAGGCCTGTTTCCTCTGATAATCCATATCAAGAGTTATCTCTGTATAAAGACATATAAATGTTAACTTTGATTTGTTTAATCAGAGCCCACAGCATAATTTACTCAGTGGTGGAAGGCATCTATCAAAGTATGTTTTGGAGGTAGGCCTACTTGTACTTCATTTGAGTATTACTATTTTCTGCTATCACTATTTTATACTATGACTCAGTGAGTTTTTGTTGTTACTTTTAATATTACAATTTTAGAAAAAAGGCATATGATTGTTATAGATTGAACATCCCAACATAAAAAATAGCTCCACTGAGCCAAGCATCAACATTTAAATGCTGCTTACACATTAGGACATCAGTAATAACATAACACTAATATACATAACAATAACACACAATAAGTGTTATTGAAAATACTTTTACTTGTGATACTTAAGTATATTTTTCACTTGATGTTTTTAGTTTTACTTAAGTACAGGCTATAAATGCTTCTTCCACCACCTGATATACAGTACATACTGTACTAAATATGTAAAGGTGCACATAGTTCCTGTTTTTAATTCTGTCTGTTTTCTCGTTTTGCTCTTTTGATTCTACTCAAGGCTCTCCCTAATCACACCACTGACATAAGCCAGCATTTAGCCTTGTATAAAACTAGATATCAGCAAACACGTGTTAATCTGGTCATACAGAGACCCTGGGCGTCTCTGTGTATTAAGACAAGAATAGGCTTTTATAAAATCACCCATTTTGATATTTACTTGATAAAGCCAAACTAGTTTATGCAGATCTTGGAGAAGGACATACTGAGCTCCTCCAAATGAATGATTTTGTATGACCTTTATCATTTGTTTTGAGCATGTGGTTCTTGTATGACTTATGATTGTAATGGTAAAAAAAACAGGGTACAAACAAATATACCACATATGGCCTTTCATTCCTTATTTAATCTTTTCATTCTTGTGTCTCTGCTGCAGTAGAAGTTACCAAAGCAGGAGTCTATATAGTACCTAAAGGTTATCAGTCTTACTCAGCTGGAGGGGACAACCCTAAACCTAGATTAAATGGACATACAAACTTTATGAAACAACTGATAAGACAGACATTGAAACATCCATGTTTTTGTGATCATAATATTGTGTTCACTCTAATAGTGTGGTCTAGACCCCTGGTAACATTTTACAAATTCCCTCTTTCTCTTTCCCATCCCAATATCATGTCCAGTGCTTGATGTATCTGAAGTATTAATCCTTTGCTTAAGCAAAAGTAGCTAAATGTACAAATATAGTCCATTTTAGATTGTTTTTATTATATTATATATAATTATATTATAATGAATAATGATGATGCTGTAAGCAGCATTTCAAAGTTGAAAGGGGTAGGGGTGGAGGTATTTTAAAGGACCAGTATGTAGGATTTATTGGTATCTAGCAGTGAAGTTGCAGATTGCAACCATCTGAATACAGCTCACCTTCCACAGGAGAAACTGAAAGACCCTAGAGCCAGTGTTTGGTTTGTTCATTCTCAGCTCCTGTACAAACACTGCTCTAAAAACAATACTGTAAATTACACACTGGACCTTTAACTATTGTATTGTTGGGTAGTTGAATCCATAACAATGCATTATATTCAATGAACTGACATGTTTTGACAGAAGATTTAGTCTGAAAAGTAACAGAACTATAGATCCTGCAGTCTACTTGAGTGAATGTACACTTATTATTTTCCTCCACTTATGAATAAACTACTGGACTGATGTGTTAGATGCTCAGTAGGTAAGTAAGGTGTTTTGTAGACGCGAGTGTTGCCGTTGACATAGAGGATTAACTTTTGTCATACAGTTGAACAAGTTCAACCTGTAATTCAGCCACTTACCAGTAGGCCAAACATGGTACAAATGCAGGTCAGTAGCACAAGCGTCCCGGAACTGCAACCTAACCATGCTCCTCTGACATCCATAATCAATGAACTGTTGAAAGATGGAAATGAATACAAAAAACAACATTTATTATGTATTTCTGACGTGTTATCAATTTAAGTTTATTTTTTTTGCTGTTATCCCTGTAACGTTAAATTATATGTTTAGCTATAATCTGGGAGGTTAGGTGGGGGGAGGCAGGCAGCCTGGTAGCACTTGACAACCGTCGCCTCCTCTCATTGGTCAATATTATAACGGACATTCTTCTTGTCCAATAAGATTCTGTTGCGGTCAACGCTCTGGTCCAATCTGCATGAGTTATGCAAATCCAGGATCGAAGTTTCCCTAGTAGCAGCACTCTGCGGTGACAGCATTTAGCTTTTCAGATGTTTCATTTTCTGTTTAATTGACAACGCGAGGGAGGTTTTGATAGCTAGGTGTTAGGCACGAATGATTGCTCCGCTATAAGGGACTGAAGAGTAACGTTTTCGCTATGTTTGCGCAATTAGGTTCCCGTTAACCGGTAATTAAAGCTGATAGCGAACTGCTAACAGTTAGCATAGCTATCTAACGATTTCGCCGGTACAGGCGGACCTCTTTGTCTGACAGGGGAAGGCGTGCTCTTTTGTTAGGCTTTTCCCTTTGTCCATTCGGGAAAGAGGAACTGTTGGGTCAGGATTTCACAATTATCTGCAGCTCGGAAAGTATTTAGAAAATGCAAATCGCGAAAAAATACTTCACAGACGGCCTGATTCAGTTAACAATCTTACTCAGTTTGATTGGAGTTCGTGTGGATATCGACAGCTACTTAAGCGGCTACTATTCGCCTCTGATAGAGATTAACTTGGGTCCTAGCTCAGCCTACACCCAGACACCCTTTCATAATTTGAGAGACACTCTTGACGGATACAGTGTGCATCCAAAATGTCCCGAGTTGGACTATTTCTTTGCAAGTCGCCGGCTACTAGACGAAGTAAGGACCCTTGGCTCCCCGCGTTTCCCCACACAGTTGAACGCATGGCTGGTGCACCAAGTGTCTGCCACTGACAAGGCTGAGTGTGGGCCTTCAACTAGCAACAACACTGACACCAGCACAGAGTTAGAAACCCCGGGGGACGAAGTCAGGGATGGCAGTGAACACCTGCCTGACAGTGGCCAAGAGGTGTGCCAAACAACCACTGAACTCGGACAGGGGCCTTGTAACGCTGGAGCCTGTGGGTTTCTTAAAGAGGCAAGTGTTTGTGTGTGATGTAACATAAAGTTAAACAGACTTTGCTGCTAACTAAGCCATATGACAGAGAGTTGGCTGGCCAGCTAGATTACTTGACTAACCTTGGTGATGAACTAAAGTTAAAACTTCCTCGAAGCTTAACAGAACAACTATTCTCTATCACAATAGCTAACTAGCACCATTAGCCCGTGTTATACAATGATGATTGTCCATCCAACCAGTAACTTATTATGTTGTAACATTTCCTGCTTCACCAGTAAACAAGATAATAAGATAATAAGATGTGATAACCCGTTAGCAAAACCTCCAATGTGCATTCACTTTCACTTTGTAGGACTCCTGACTCACAAATTGCATGTCGGTGATAAAGTTCTTGCCTAGTTAGATTATGGGATATGCATTTACTTGGTAACTCTGTTTAAACAACAATTTACTGGCCTGGTTAAATAAGTATCCATATAACCTGTTAATGATACAATCTAGTTTGATGTACACCATCACAAGTATTCAACAAACTGTCTACTGCACCTGTCACCCTTCACTCACATTAAGCCCTCTCTGAATAGTCAGGACAATAGAATTAACTTCACAAATAAGACCCCAAGTAGCCCAGTGTATTGGATGACCACATGGGGAGAAAACTACTATTTGCCAAGAGTTTCACTCACTTGTTATTGTTAAAATCTGTTGATTGTAGAAAGTGTTGTTTCATATTCAGTGTTACTGCTGCCATCTGTAATCTGTTACTGCCATTATGTTTTTAACACTGTAATTACACCAGACCATTATATTTAATTCTCCCAGTGATTCAGTTTTTCTAATTCAGGGTAGAAACAGCTGCTTGGTGGATGTTATGTCCTGAGGGCAGTTGATGTCGCCATTTGTGTAACTGTATCCCCTTTCTTCAGACTCAATCGCCAGCTGTGGGCCTTGAGAGGTGGAGAAGTGAGGCTTAGACCCACACCCTGTTTGCTTACACAAAAGCTGTGGTCCATACTTGAACAGTGCCCCCTCCCAGGGTTCTTGTTCACAAGGATAATGTGATGTTGACACATCTTTCATTCTTTACCCTCTCTTTTGTCAAATAAGTAATAGCTTAACTGCTTGTAGGGGACAATGTTGTGGTTTATGGAAACACAATATTTTAAAGGAGAGGTCTATAGCTGTAATATTTGAAAGTAACTATCAATAACTATGTACAGTCTTTTTCACTGAGACATTTGAAGCTGTAAGGCCAGTAGAAGTCGACAAGCTCAGACAAAGCTTGGGCAGAACTTGGCTGGTGTAGAGAACAGTTTGTCATGTTTTTGCCTCTAGCATTAACGCAAAAACTGATTCAGCAATCACTCTCTTTTTGGAACAGATAAGAATCCATCTGCTTTTATCACGGCATGGGAAATATTTTTCTGTGTTTGGATATATCAAGAATATTGTGTCTGTGGCAGACAGCTGGTGACCTATATTACATGCTGTACTTGCTGTATCAGGAGAGTCTTACAATGTCTAAAAGGTTGGGTCATCTCTGAGAGTAAGTAGCCTTCTGGAAGTAAAAAGATCTGAAGTCATTTTCGTACACAACAACAGCTCACACATTTCTTCTGCTTCATGAAAGTCCCCTATCACAGTTGGCCGGACTATGGCCGGCAATAAATGTAGTCTGATTAGTTGGTCTCTGTTCCCTCCGGAGTTACAACAACTGCTTATTAAAACAATCATTTTCTCTGTCAGAACAGAACAGTAAAAATTCTCTAAGATATCCAATTATCTGCAATGGCGATTATTGGATCACCAAACCAGAAATGTAATGTAATGTAAGTCTTTGGATGTCAGCTAACAAACTGACTTTCTTTTTTCCCTTCTTTTCTATCCTGAATCTGACTCGCCTGTTCCCCAATTCTGTCTTCCCTTTCTCCATCTGCCTTTGTTTGCCCAACCAGAAGGATGATGCTAAAGTTCAAGAGGAGGAAGAACCTGCCCCGCTCACTCAGCTGGCTCACAGCTCCACACTGGAACAAGAGGTATGATCATGGTTACACAGTTATACTGCTGAAAGCATTGCACATTTCATCAGGATCACTCTATTCTGAAAAGTAATTATACTTGTTTACAGAGTTTACACTACACTGTTTGTAGATTACAAATACATCTGAACATGCTTCTCATCTTCATTCACCTTCATTCACACTTCATTCAAAGTGAATGTAGCCTTGGCCAGGAGGGGTTGATTGACTACGTTGTAGTTATTTTTAACCAGAAAATCAAATTTTCACATGACTTCATCACTCTTAACATACCGTTCTGTTTTGCTAATGACATGTAAGATAAGAGATGCAGAAGCACAATAATCACTGTATCTCTGACAAGGAAACACTTTACGTTTCAGTTCTTGTTCCTAATAATCTACACAGCTAGCTTTGGCACAAATACTTTAATTCACATTGGACAGGTTTGACAACAAAACATACCACTCTGCCAGTGTTGCATTCTATGCATGTATTTTTTTTTTTTGCCTCTTTCAGAGTCTGCTTGAAGGCATCACTGCACTGTCTGATCCAGCACGCCAACATCCTCCTACCATTGATATTGACCAGCACTGGAACAATTTACTCTCTCTGTCTGTTACTGACCTTGACGTAAGTTGTCTGCTCATATTCATTACATACTCCTGAAAATGAATTAACCACAAGGCTTACTATCATTTTACAAACAGTAATTCAGATGCATAAGCTAGAAACCATCACTATATTGCAACAGAGAGCTTTTGTGTCCCATGATGATCGACATGTTGGAGGATTTTCAAAATTACAAAGACTAAAATTCAGTTAAAATGTCTCATGTGTAGGACTTGGACTCCCTTGTAACCGAGCGTCTGTCAGACCTTGACACAGACATCACTACCGCCATCAGCCAGGATGTCAGTTTGCATGATGCTATGGTAACCAGTGCTGGAGCGTTTGGTGTGGTGTCTGAAAGAGTTGAGTCCAGGCCAGTCCCCCAACAACAAAGAACCCTCTTCCGACTGGAATCCACAGGCTCCTCACACTCCGACGCGTCACCAGGGATGGCATTGGGCCTGGCTGCTCTCCCCTTTGCATCAGTATGTAATTTAACTGGAAATGTGTCCCAACATAGTGAGCTGGGTGGCTGTCTGGATGAGGCAGTATTTGACCAGATCAATCAGCTAGGTTTGGAAGGCCTGGATCCTATAGACACCCAGCTTATGGGCTGTCTGGAGAGCATAGACCCACAGGTCCTCGAGGACTTGGACTCGGACTCAGGCCTCTCCTTAGAGAGCAGCTCTGGAGGTCCAGTCTCCCCAGGTTGGTTCAAATATCAACAAATACTAGTAGATTAAATGTCTTATTGCCATGGATTGTGAAGAAATTGTTTGTTATGCATACTAATACGATAATTAACTCTTCACTTATCCAGGCTCATCCGACATGTCATCATCATCTAGTTCATACTGTGAGGATGAGTGTGGAGCTACAGGCTACAGTAGTGAAGTGGATTCAGTTCCCTCAAAAGGCATCATGGACTACACCACAACGTGGTCACCCATTGATCTGAGTGAGAGTGTATGGCATGACCACAGCTACTCATCTCCTGCTTTCTACAACCAGCCATCAGTAACACTTTCCCACAAAGGTATCAAAGAGGAGCCTCTCAGCGATGACGATGGGCCAAGGTTGGATGAGAGGGACCTGAGTCGTGATGAGATGCGTGCCCGTGCCATGTGCATCCCATTCTCTGTCCTGCAGATTGTCAACATGCCTGTGGAGGAGTTCCTGGAGGTCCTTGACGGTCACGGCTTCACCCCTGAACAGGTGACCCTCCTGAGGGACATCCGCAGACGAGGGAAGAACAAACTGGCAGCTCAGAACTGCCGCAAGCGCAAGCTAGATGCCATCACAGGGCTCCAGGAGGAGGTGGAAAGGTTGCACGCTCAGAGAGACAGGCTACTGAGGGAGAAACAGCTTACAGCCAAGACAATGGGTGCTGTGGGCCAGCAGATAAAGCAGCTGACCAGAGACGTGCTGGCCCGGCTGAGGGATGATTCAGGACAGCCCCTGAACCCAGAAAGATTTACCCTGCAGTGCGGGGCCAACGGGAGGGTTGTGGTTCAGCCTGTAAGACGGCCTGCTGTCTCTACATCAACTGGCAACAAAACAGACAAGAGAAAGAAGGAGAAAAAGCAATGATGCAGTATTGCCAGCTGAGACTTGAGATTTTAGGTTTTTTGATATTTCTGAACTTACTTGCCTGACTCTGGTTTTGGGATCTCCTCTTTTTGTAAAACTGTGTGTGGATTCACCGCTATTGGGAGCCTAAAACGACAAAAGCTGCAAAAAGAAAAGAAACTCTGAACATTGAAAAAAAGAATCTCTGTAAATAAAATTTCTCATGGGAAAAATGTAGCTTACACACTGGACATTCTTTGCTTATTGAAGATGGACAAGACACCCAGGGCAGTTTAAGGCAACAGCTAAACTGCTGGCGATACAACCAGTCTTTCTTTGTGCCTGTTAACATTTAAGTCATTGAATCTTACCGTTTTTACAGAAGAGCGTAGACAACCATACATGTCTAAAAGTTAGCATTGTGAAAGTTACTGGATAGAGATCCAAGAGGACAATTCTGTTTGTTTGTTTGTTTGTTTGTTTGTTTCCATGTAATCTTGCCTCTCAATGTATACCTATTCAGTATAAGGAGCAGGTTAAACATTGTATTTATTAAAGTTTCTGAGGTTTCTGAAGTGCTTATATGCATCATGAGACCATCAAGGGCAGTACGTTTTTTTTCATAATGGTAAGTTTATCTCAAAGTGGTAAGAATATTGGAACATTACCTATCTAAAGTTTACAAATTTGCTTCAGATATTTGAGGGCATGAAAAAAAAAAAAATTAACTGAAATGTTAAAAAAAAAAGATTTTGTTGTTTTCCCTATGTCTTGATGACAAACGATATACCAATGATTAAACTGACACGGCCTTAATTTGCATTGGATAAGTGTTTTGGATATTATGTGTGTGTGTACATGATCCACAGATGCACATTACCATAACAAAATGTTTTTAAGAGGCTACCATTATGTTATAAAATAATATTGAATAATTAGTTTCAAGCCCAATTTTGCTTTACCCTTTCATTTCACAGTTCAACAGTTTTGGCAAAATTATATTCTACCTCATGCCTTAGTTTATGTTATAGATTTTGGCTAAATAAAAAATACCCTTTTTAGGGGAACTTAAGTGCACTCGTAACTACAAATTCTTCATTATTAAAATGGCCCTATATGGACCTTAACCATCCCATTACTGAAAAAAATGCAATCACCAACTCTATTTAATAGGCTTGAATGTTGTTTTGGATGTTGCTTTTTATATATTTGAGATTATCTGAGAGTTAAATTAAGTATTTAGTAGAAGTTGCCATCCTATTCATGGCCACACCACTTTACACAGCCAGATGAGTCAGTAAGTGATTCAAATGGAGAATGGTGCAAGAAGTAGTTAATATGTGCGACTCATTACGTTTTTGTTTGTTTTTCTAGTCTTTCATAAATTTGTATTTAATTTTCTGGTTTGACCTAGAGGTTACTTTGCTGTTTGTATAAACTTCAAACTGTTTTTCTTTGTTGCTGGGGGAAAATGTTTTTTGATTGCATGATGATTGTTGAATGTTGCTAGTATGATTTTGCTTAGGGAATTTGAAATGCTCTTGCAGACCCTGTTTTTTTTTTTCTGATTTCTGAAAAAAAAAAAAAAAAAAACAACCAAGACTGTCTCATTCTTGTCCCACTGTTTTAAGAGCACACCTACCTGTGTTTGAACAACCAGAAAATGAAAGGGTACACACAAGCTAACTTTCTTTATTTTTAATGCACTCTTATGACATTTGCTCAAAATAATGTATTACGAACACTTTAGTTAGTTTAGTTTAGTTAAAATAGCTTTAGACCTTGTAGGTATACATCCACGTCGCAGCCTTTGAAGGACGGATGGGCAAACCTTAACATCACCTAACCACGAGGCCATAGACGGTATAGCACGAGGTACAACAGTAAAGAGCGAAGCGCATTGTCCGTCCTGGCTTCCGTAGTCACCCAGGGCTTTTGGCGCCTGCCCTGCAGTACTGCAGACAAGAGATAAAGCGAAGGCTGACCGCGTGGTAAGGAGGCATAGCCGAGCAATTCCTGTTGGTTTTAGGGTGCGTATGCATAAATGAATTATTTCAAACGTTGCATCATGCAACACCTACCGTAAATGTTGTTGCCTGACACAGGAAAGCTAACGCTAGCTTTGTTTTCCAAGTTGGACCTTGTAGCAGGAACGCAGTTTTCGCAGAAAGAGTGAGCTATAATGTTAACGTTACTCCAACTGTGTTAGCTAGCTATACTATTTTAGCTTGTTTACATGCATACATTGTCAGTGTTGTGTTTCAGTACTATAATGCATTGTTTTGAGTACATTAGCGCCAGCTAGTTTAAGGTAGACGTGTCTTCTCCAGGATTTAGTTGTATCCTGGGGCCTTTAAATGTCATTTGAGTATTTTTATCGTTACGAGCCTTGCGTAAAATATAATTAGCTTTTTGAAATTGCTAATGTTATACGACTAGCTAGCTTATTATGCTTTAAGTTGTTTCTCTGCACCAAGCTTCTTTGTTAATCAACGTAACAATGCAGGTGGTACAATAAAGCCAAGGGAATTTTATCTACCGCCCAGGCCTGAAATAAAATGAGCTAACGTACTGTTAGCATGCTGGCTAACGTTAACGTACATAACGCCATTTCATGATTTGACTAGCTTTGTGTATTGTTTTGCACAACGCATAGCTGAGCTGCTACTTATTATAATATTATTGGTTTGTACGCGTTGCCATGTCCGTGTGCATTACCGTGTAACGTCAGCTATCACAAATAATTTGTTTACGGCCCCCTACGCTGTGCTTGATTTGGGACATGTTGGCTTTGTTTTATTACCTTCAACTTAATGTGGATAGAAGTAGTAGCTTTATGCATGTACATGTGGAATTTAAGGTGGCATTGCAAAAAGCTGAAGTTGAAGTTATCTCACGCCTCCTCCTCCTCCTTTTCAGTGCACAACATGGGAAAGAAGCAGAATACCAAGGGCAAGAAGGATTCACAAGAGATGCAGGAAGAACCTGAGGAATTTGTTGTGGAAAAGGTCCTTGACCAGCGAATTGTCAATGGGAAAGTAGAATTCTTCCTGAAGTGGAAAGGATTCACAGAGTGAGTTTCCTGGGACACCCGCAGAGCTGGAAGTGCTTCCCTGGTATGGGGTCGTACTATGTTTTTGTCCATAGTCTTTGGTTGCATGAATCGGCTGCTTTTCTGCATACAAGTTAGTTTTTAAAGTCGACCATACTGTTTGCACCTGTATCGATGGAGATCTGTGTTTGAGGGATGTTCTGAGATGCAAATGCTGACCCTCCTCCTGCTCGTTTAGTGCTGACAATACTTGGGAACCAGAGGAGAACCTGGATTGCCCAGAGCTGATTTCCGGGTTTTTGGAAGCACAGAAGAACGTTAAAGAGAAGCCTGCTCCTGTTAAGAGAAAGGCATCAACAGATGAGCCAGAGACGGAAGCAAAGAAGAAAGATGTGGTAAGTTCACTTAGGTTTACATACTTCCAGACAGTTGAATTTTTTCAGTGTGAATTCTTCACATGAGGATGATATCTCACATTTAGAAAAAGATAAATGGCAAAACGTTTTATGAAAACATTACCTTATTCCATGATATGTACTGAAATATATCCAAGTAAGAAATGAAATGCAGCAGCTACTAAACCTATCCTGGAGAGAGCTTTGGATCAAGCAATCATTATGGTGTCAGGCTCAAAGTTGCTCTATATCATCTGGGAAAACAAAATCATTAATACCTGTTCCAGTTTCTTGCATATACTCATGTGTTCATTTGGCACCACTTACAGGCTGAGAAACCACGTGGCTTTGCTAGGAACCTCGACCCAGAACGGATCATTGGTGCAACAGACAGTAGCGGGGAGTTGATGTTCTTGATGAAATGGTGAGTACAAAAGGAAATATTCATATTTAGGAAAGATTCAAAAGGGAGGGCTGCACAAACTGTCATCCTTTTTTAATTTTCTGCACTTGAAACCTTTATTATCCTTTATCAGGAAGTCTATTATAACTTGTGATGATCGTTGACTGTGTTGTAGCTGAATAGATGAAAACTTGTGTGTTTGTAGTAATCAGGGTCTGCAGTTGCTGTAATGTTTTTCTTCCTCTTCTTCTTTAGGAAAGACTCAGATGAAGCAGATTTGGTCCCTGCTCGTGAGGCCAACACTCGCTGCCCTCAGGTGGTCATTTCCTTCTATGAGGAGAGACTGACATGGCATTCCTGTCCAGAGGATGAAGCTCAGTAGTACTTCCCTCTGGTTGCTGCAGTCCTTTGCACCACCTATGCCCTTTTCCTCAGGACTGAATTTTCTCCTCTGGCTTGCCTTCTAGTTTTAGCTATCTTAGTTCTTTTTGGAGATGTTTCAACCCTCACATTGTGTGGCAGTCAAGGAGAGCTATGTTGTTGTACATATTAGCTGAACTGATTGTAAGGGAGTTGGTGATGGTGTTGTGCTGTATAATGAAGTCTTCCGTTATCATATTATGATTTATGTGATGGCAGTTTAGGAACTATACTCTTTGATAGAACCCAACACCCACCCAAATTCATTCCTGGTCAAATTTTGTAAATTCTAAATGGCTACTTTGGTCTGTCAAGCTGTTGACCACTTCTTGTATCACCATCTCAATCTCATGTAAGATGCTGATTTTTGTTTTTTGTTTTTTTCCACACTAGTGCTAATGTTTTGTTCTAAAAGTGCATTTTGTATACTCTTACTGTAAATATTAATTTGAAGTTCTAATAAAGGTTTTATGTGACCAAATCCCCCTGTTTAGTTTATGTAATGTTTAAGCAGGCCCATCAGGAGTTTTAGTTTGTATTTTACCGTTAGAGGTAAAATACAAACTAAAACTCCTGATGGGCCAGTATGATTTCCTTTTGTTGTCATTTGCTGCACATGACAGTAAAAGCTTCAATACTGAAGAGTCAAATGATGTTCATCAGGTAAGTCACTGTGGTGGGAACATACTTTAGCTCACCTCAATCTGTGTCCGGTCTGCATATGTATAGTAGTTTTATTCCACTATTTAGTCTTAAAGTATCAGTTCATTTGTACATAAAATGAGAAGCTCAATTACCCAGTAGTATAATCAGACCAAATCCCTCTTTTGCTTTTAATTTGTATGAATTTTTTCTATGCAGGACTCATTTATACCAGAATACCTTCCATTGTGGCATTGTTACATTTGCCTGAGTAAATCTGCCAATCTGGGGTGACACCCTTTAACATCATTAAAGTTCAGAAACTCCTCAGTACTCCCTCTAACAGCTGAGATGGGTCTCTCAGGCCATGTATCCAGATGGCATGGCTGCCTCTGCAACAGTAAGCAGAATAGTCTCATGACTGGCATTAGGGCATGGGAAATGGACTTTGGACCTTTGTGCTTTAGTGTTGAGTTTTCAGTTTCTATAGAAACATCCCTCAAGACACTCCTAAACAGCCAGTAAGGGTCTTTTCCAAATAGCTTGCAAATGGTATCAAAAATGTTTCTAAATTAACTTTTTTATCTCATTATGTTGAGTGCTTAAAAGAAAAAGCTGAACGCTATTAAATTCTCCCTACATTAAAGATCTACTGGAAAGGAGTCCTACCAAAACAATCACAAGTTCCCATGTAAAAGTAGGCCTGCAGTAGCTTTAAAAGAAAAAGTGTTATTTTAGAGTTAGAGTGTTATCACATTTCATGGGGCAGCCTAAATCTGGAATACCTTGATTAAGTCAAACCTCTAATCAGGCCAGCATAATCACTTGTATGCTAATGTCTTCAGATCATCTCACCACAACTTCACAACACAAATGCACATGATAGCTCTACAAGTAGAACAAGATCCAATCCATGATCAAGCACTTCTAATTACATAGTAAATTCTTCATGTTGCTGCATGAAATATAATAACCAAAAACGCCTCTTTTTAAATTTCAATATGAGTGGAGGAAAGGACTTTGTGTGGACATGCATGGGTGTTATCTGTGCCTTAGTGTGTATAGCACATGATGCTTGTCTATAGTCCAGAGTAGTCAATTATTTCTTCAGCACTTGTTAAATTGCACTCATAGCCATAACCAGACAATTAGATTAGCTAAGCCCAAAGAAAACTGTTCTGCTGTAGCCAATCATAACACGTTGAAAGCGAATAGCAGTCAATGAAAGGACGTGTTATCTGCTGACTTGACCAAAGATAAAGATACCTTTATATGCAAATGAGCAGACCTTAGCCTCCCTTTAATACCTTCACTTGAAAAAGAGTAGTATTCATTTAAGGCCACCTCCCACTAGTGGTGTTTACCTCCACTCCTGGGCTGGAAAGCACTTAGGAATAGACCTCGGAGCACTTTGGTAAGAACCCATTGATTTTGTTCTCATGTCTTATTGCTGGCAATGTGTGCACACAGTGATATTATTCCTTCCATGGTGGTGATATTGAAGGTTGTCAGTGATTACTCTGTGTCAGGAGAGTAACATTGCTGGTATCAGACTTGGTGAAAGAGTAAAAGTGATTGATAACAGAAATTGACCAATGTAGAAGTTATATGAGAGACGGCTGAATTGAGAGTGAAACTGTCCTGTGTGTTTTAAATGGTTTTAAATGGACCGTAAGGCCTGTTGCTGCTGTGTTGTGCTTTAATTACCTCTTTTTTCCTTTATGAGAAATGCTTACTGTGCCGCCCAGTGTCAACAAACTACCTCAGCAACACACTGCATCCTGCCAAATGTAACTAGCTGCAGCTGTATATTTCAAACTTTGCAGCAAGGTGGTCAGTGGCTGTACTCGTCTTACCGTTACCGCAAAACCTGAGCTTCACTTTTTCATTGTATATAATTATAGACTTAAAGTGTTAGTCATGGACTGGAAAGAGTTGTTATCACTGTGGCTTTTACTTTTATGACATTTCTTGTCTTCTCTAATGGTTCAATGTGAATATAATTGTTACATGTCAATGGAGGATGGAACTGGAAGAATATAGGGTTAAAGGGTAACAGATATTGTAGTGAGAAAATGAGTGAAAATGTCAACATACAACAAAGATATCCAATAAAATCTGGATTCTTAAAAAATGTAGGTCATGATTCCTGGACACCAAAAATGAAGTCTGCAAACAGGTACTTTTTCATAATTGTTTTTCAGTTAATTTTAACATTGTTTCAACCCTCACATTTAACATTAATTTGAAAATTTTATTTCCAAACATGAGATTCTGAAGTATTGATTTTATTATAGGCCTACTGGAATCAGACTCCAGCAAGTGGTAGTTTTAAACTGTGTGAATGTATGTTTGGATGTTAATGCTGGGGCACATTCCCTCAGTCTTCAAAAGCAACAGTCGTGAGTGAAAGGTCTAGGTTGGATGTTCACTATACCATTAATAAAGGATTATTATTATTATTATTATTTTATCTGAAATTTTTTTTTAATTTAGATAAACATTGTATAAGTGGAAATACTGGATGGACAATAATATAGCAGCTTTTTCCTGAGATGGCAGGGTTGTTTTTAGGTTAGGCCATGGAACCTAAATAGGTCATGTATAAGAAAACGTCAATATTTTTGATAATGATTCCACGACATCACCATTAGCTGGCTTCCTCCCACCAGGTGAGACCATTTAAACTGATCGCACCAAGTGAATTGGGGACAGGTGCGCGTTGAGGACACAGCTGTGACGTCTCTTGCGAGCGGGATATCGTTGTCCCTCCGTCGAACAACTTAAAATTATTATTTTACAGACTTTTATTTGGTGTATATTTTTACAACGATGTGGCCTTCCCGCAGCGGAAAAGACGTGATCAAACACAGAGGGTGAGGTCCCACTGAGTGGTCAACAGTTCGTTTTAGTTGAGTCCAGGCAGGGCTGAGCCTCAAGCCACTCCACTGAGCTGCTCCTGTTGTTCACAAACACCGGATTACTGCTCGGCAAGTAAAAAGAGGGAAGGTAGGATCACATTATAATTAAAATTTAAATCAGATCTTGATGTTTTGCGTATTTGTTGCAGATATTTTTCTTCCATAGGCAGGAGAAACTTTAGATTTTCTTTACCTTAATTTGTCAATATGTCTACAGCAATGTTCTACCTGTAACAATTAGTTGGATAATTATTAAATAATTGTTTATTTGACAAGGAATGGTAGTTAGTCACTAGCTATCTAGTTTAGTTGTACTACTTTTATTGTTAATAGTACCTGAAAAATGTCAGGACCTCATTTGTTATTTTTTTATTTGGTTGGCTATTTAGGACATAGCCTGCTTGGGTTCTGCAGATGTTAATGCCTTGTTTCAGTCCGGCCTTATGAACCTTGATTAAGACAAGAAGGTTACTTTTTGGGGGGTTGTAAATTGGTGACTTAGTGCACTAGTTGTGCATAATGCTGCCCAAAGAAATGTGATTGTATTAAATAACCTATAGTGGTTGGGAAAAATGTAAGTTGCTATATTCATTGAGATTTCACTTGTTATTCCTATCTGACCAGAGGATTTGGCCCAGTTTATTGATTTCCTTAAACAGCAGTAACATTTTTCCTTGCTACCATGAACAAATTGTTAAGAACTCAGGACTTTGTTTGCAAATGTTTTTGGACTTGATTGATTAGCTCTGCTTAGACTGCTGGTAAATGGCATGCCTCTCATTAAAGAGCAGATGATTCAGCATGTTGCTAAAGCCTTTAGATATGTCTGTCATGTGAAGGAACACTGTTGCAGAATGTTAAGGAAAAGTTATCCCATGCAGTCACTGATCTAAGAAGAAAATTATGTTTCAACAATTTTGCTTTGCTTGAAAATGTAATGGCAAACTTTCATCATGATAGCCATTGTTATTCAGTGAATGGGCAAAGAGCTGTTTCCAACTGTGTTTTGGTTTATATGTATGTGTGAGTCCATATTAAGGTGTTTTTGTTGTTTAAGTCAAGATTTCTCCCCCCTCAATCTAAATCCACCTACTTGCCCTTTGTTCCCCTTTATGCTGCATCAGCTCCAAATGTTTGTTCTTTTGAGTGCTTAAAGTATTAATCACCAGGCCCATGCTTCACAAAACAGACTGCATTGAAAACATTGGACTTTGGATGCTGGATTGGTTATTAGTGTTTCGTAATTTACTTTCGTAATTTAATTACTACCTAACATTTGAAAGTTGGAGGGATCATTTTCAATGCAACAAGCTCTATTTGTTCTCTCTCTGGCAGGTTTTTGTACCCACTATGGACAGTATGCTAGACAACCTGTCAAAAACTGTAAGTGATCAAGCGTGCTCCTTCACTTTTCCTGTCTGTCTTGAATTTTTGCACTTACAACTGGATTTACACACAGGCATCTTTACAGCCTCTTTTCAAATGAGTCAATCTTGGTTTTTCAATTTAGGAGTTTATCAGCATTTGTGTTCGGGATCCAAGGCTTGTTAAAGACGACCTCTGGCATGCACACGTCGACTATGAGATCTATTTACATGTAAGTGCCTCTTGTGGGAGGGAAGCTCTAGATTTAGATCATATTTGTATTCAAGTTTATGTGAGAAGTCTATTGAATTGTTGTCCCCTTTTTTATTATTATTTTTATTTCTATTTTTTTTTCTTTTAGACCAATAGCATGTGTTTTCGAAAGAAGACCTCCTGTGTAAGGCGCCGTTACAGTGAGTTTGTTTGGCTGCGTCACTGTCTGGAACAGAATGCTCTCATCATGTATGCTCATACCTCAGATTCATATCATAAATTGACACTTTTTCATTAATAACATTCCATATGCAATACATTTTCTCTAAGTTCATTTGCTTTGTTGTTCTCTGTCCAGAGAATTACCCAAGTTGCCGCCCTGGAACCCCTTCTTCAGTCTAAGGAACAAAGAGCAGGTCTCACAAAGGATGAAGGGCATGCAGGAATTTTTAGAAAAGTGAGTAGCTCTGCAGCTAAAGCAATGGCAGCAATAGCATTGCCACCTAGTGGTATTGTTTTCACCCCCAAAATGGCTGTTAAGAATTAATCTGCTGAAAGCAAGAGCACTCTTAGACTTAAGTGACCTTTTCCACACTATTTTAAATGTTTTTTTTGTAAGTTCACCGGTTGACATTGTATCATTTAATACCCCCCCCACCCCCCACCCCCGTCCTCCTCTAGTGTTCTTCAAGCACCTTTGTCGTTATCAGACAGTCGACTCCATCTGTTCCTCCAGTCAAACCTCAGCATCACAAAGATCGAAAGGTGTGCTCGTGGTAAGACCAGGTACACAGTGGCTGAAGCCATCCAGCGTTCCAACAGCGGTTACATCGGTAGATTAGAGGACAAAGCCTGCTGTGACTCTGACTGTGAAAGGTACGAGCTTGGACAAAACCACTTGCACTTTTTTTTTTTTTTTTTTAAGAGCAGTTTTGAATGTCTATTCCCTGAATTGACTCCCTCCCTCGTCTTCCCCACAGAAGCTCTTCATCGTCGGGTTTGGGAGTAAGCGTGGACACTACATTGCACAGAAGCTCCCTCCGCTTCTTTGAGTCCTCTGACCGAGACCCTGAGCTGTTGAATTGTCTTTCAGAATCCCAAACTCCACTGATTGCGCCCTGATGCCCTGTACATATACTTGACCGCCTTCGCCTCTGTTTGGTCATCAGTGTATCAGCTTGTTTGTGATACTCCATGGAGCTCTTGCTTTTCTTATCTTTCAAAGGGCTAAAAGCTTTGTTTTACTTTTGTTAACTTCATAAACTCCCTTTGACATTGTTTTAAATATAATTGCTTTATATCATGGTCATTTAATTTGGTGTGTATTTGGGGAAAAAAACAACAACCCTGTTTTAAAAAATGTATAGTAAACCTACATTTATAATGTTGAATTCTTAAATATCTCCTATGTATATTTTTATTTGCACTGAAGCTGTACTGAGGTTAGTAAGGGATGTTTTGAATTGTAGACAGGGTGTTTTTTTTTTTTTTTTTTTTTTTTTTTTAGAAAAATATTTGAAAATACTTTTATGACTTGTTAATGGATGAATAAATTGTCTTTTTTGAAGAAAAAAAACAAGACTTGCTTCTTAAATATTAATTGATTATTTCATATTGTGTTGAATTTGGCCAGCACTTCTTTGCTGGGCCTTGACATGTAACACATCTTGATAAACACAACAGTCATGCATTGTTGTAACAGCCCAGTAGAGGGAGTGTAGACATCATAGGACTTTGATCTGAGTAAATGCAGTAGTGGCATATAGGTCTACAATGCTGATAAAGTTGATTCAGACTTCATTTGTACTGTATTTCATTCTGCATTGATCGTTAGTCTAATTTTTAAAGTCATGTCTTATTTTTCTATCTTAAGACATGGTTGGTGCAAAACTAGTGTGTGCAATTGAGCTGACCTTAGCCCATATCAATCATTGATTATCAAGCTGCACTGGGTTTGAGAAATGTATTCAAACTGGAATCTCTCACTACTATAGGTAGGTGTTAATGCACCATATATCTACCAAGTGTATGTGCATGTAGCTTTTTAGCTTCTTTAGTGTTGCGATAGTGATGAGAAGAGGTCCACTGCTGGTCACATTTCATCCCAGTATCATTACCTTCCCTGGTGAGGTGGTCTAATTAAAGGAAGATGGCAAATTAATTTAACTATTACAGACTACTCTTGGGAATCACCTGCAAGAAACAAGACAGCTTCAAACTGTGTGTGTGTGTGTGTGTGTGTGTTGTGACGCAGGAGTGCTGGACAGCCCTGTAAATTGAAAGCTGATGAAAGAAGCAAAGGCTCATTAAAGGAGACAGAAGCTGTCCCCTACCCCAACCCCTCCCTCTGTGGGCTGCTGAATTGACGTGGGCCGACCCAACAGTAAACCTGTTCTGTCCCGTGTCTCTGTCCTCTTCTCTCCTTCCCCTGGATGGTGCTGTCTCCCTGTGCGGGCAAACCATAATGAAGCTGTCAGTGACTTCACACACCAGCCACTGAGCTGTACTCATACGGCAAACACAAACCCAGACACATACATACACACAGTGTGTCTGAAGACACAGACAGCTGTGAACACACACACACACACATACGCACACACGTATACAGTGTATACACTGGTGGGAAAGCTGTGGATGAATGAACATTTTCTCTTTTCCTCATCCACTGTCATTTTCTGAGTCCCACTGGTTTGTGGTCGGGGTGCTCCATCTCTGTTTGCTGTTAAGGTTGACCTTATCAACCTACCCCATGACAGCCATACAGCACAACATACACACACACCCTGTTTGGTTCAGAGCAAGTCAATTTCCTGACAAAATGAAATGCAACTGCAAGCAGTGGCATCTTGTGTTTTTGTGTGTACATGCACGCATCTGCTTTTTTGTAGGGGAGAACATCTAGCATTTGGATATTGAGTATTCACGGTACATGTCTATTTCAGCTCGGTAATTTATAACTCAATTTCCAGTGTGCACTGATGCGCTTCATACCTCCAAAACACAAAACAAAGCCCAAACCCAATTGTATTTCAAAGCAATTAGGGTGTCCACTGAGTTGTGAACGGCCCACGTTGCAGTGGCTCTGGGCCCGTGTGAAATTTTTAATTGTTAATTTTCTGTCACATTAGTCAACTTCAGTGCCTCTGGACAGGTGACCGAGCTCCTGTAAGGCAACACATAAAACGACAAAGAACATTTTTTGATGCAGCGTATAGTGGATGGTGTTTTTATGTGCTGGGGGGAAAAGGTTCTGCTGCATGTGATAAGTTAAATGACAAGATGGTATATCATATTTACAACTGTTTTATGGTAGGAATCTTTCAAATGCTTTTTAATATATGTGGTGGCAGTCAATATTAGTATTAGTTTATGAGTCTAAATTATTAGCTCATTTAGACTTTCACCTGAAGCCACCACAGGGAATGGCTTCACCTCCTTGACCCTACAAAAGCCAACAATGGCAAAATCTATATGAGCAATTAGCCTGCGTAACTCTCACCCTGCCCCTGCGCTTGTTGTTGCACCCATAGTTTCTTTCCATCACTCTCCTCTTCACTCTCTCTTTGTTTTCCTCTGTTTCCCTCGCTTGCTTACTTCTTCTCATCTCTCTATAGGGTGGTAAGTTAATTAGCTGTTCTCTTATTTTTGTGTTCTTTTTTTCTTTTTGCTGACGCTGCAGGCACCTGGCTCACTGTATCTCAGCTGTCTATCTGTTGAGGAAGGAGGCCTGGAGGTCTCAACCTCGCAGCCGGCTCCCTTTCCTCTCTACTCTCTCTTCAGCACCAGGCGAGAAGAGGTGGGGGTCAAAGGTGACTACTTGCATTGTATTTGTGATTATTACCTCTAAAGTGCTTTTGCATAGAGCATCATTAAAAGTCAATGCATCTCCCTCTCCCTCTCCAACCCCACCACTGCACGCCTAAAACACACACACACTCATTTTGCACTCACTCCACACATCGCTAGCCATTTAACAGCTAAAATACGACCCATGTGCAGATAAATGTCATAGGGCCATCTATCTGCGAGTGTTAAAAGTTGGCTAATGGAGATGACATATTAGAGGCCCAAATGACTGCCATAAAAGCTCCCACCATACCTTGCAGCAGCACCGAGCCACTGCAATAGGATATGGCACTGACACTGCAACTATCTGTATGCAGAAGGAGAAAGATGGTGGGTGATGTCATATCTAGATGGAGTTCTTTTGATTCCATATTTTCTGTGGGTTCAAGTCTCTGAATCAGTGATTGGAGGAATAACAGCTTTAAGAAAGATGTAGCATATTTTACAGAGTACTGCTGCATTACATACATAAGACTTCTGATGTAATGCTAATGACCTCTCACCTTTGACCTTTCATAGAGTACTTGGTCAGAAATTATGAGTCAGGTCAGCTTCCGCGTCAGTGTGTGTCAATAGCAAAGCTGCCTTTACAATCAATAATCAAGTCCTATTTGAAGCTCCGCCACAGGTACGTGTTCACCCCCTCTCTTCCTCTTTCATCCCTCCCATCTCTTTATTAATTACCCTTCTCTATCCATGCGTGTCTTTTTCTCTCTGAGTGAATGGAGCAGTTGTAATTGCTTCTCTCTGGAGCAGTTAGAAGCGGCACAAAGGAACCGTATAGAAACCACATTTGCATTCAAGATGAGCTGAGATGGAGAGGAGGGAGGGAGCACTGCCCTCCTGGCCTATACTGAGCAGCACCACTTACACACTCTCTCTCCTTCCCTCCCTCCTTCTCTCATCTATTGTCTCCCCCTCTCCATCCCTCCCTCCACCTTATCTGCTCCCACCACCCCCACCTCCTCCCTTTCGCAGCATGGCTCCCCTTGCATTGTCTTTCCAGAGAGTTCCAAGGTCGACGGGAGCTTGCTCATCAGAGCAGGGTATTGTACACTTAGTGCTAGTATAGACGAGCTAATTTGTGCGTGCGAGTTTGTGCACGATCCTGCATGTGTGTGCGTGTTTGCGCATGTCCCGGGGCCTGCATATGTGTGCATATATGTGTAGAAATGTGTGTGTGTGTGTGTGTGTGTGTGTGTGTGTGTGTGTGTGTGTGTGTGTGTGTGTGTGTGTGTTGCAGTATTTATAATGGCTGGTAAAAAGAGGTGAAGGAGGGGAGGCTGTAATTAATAACTCATAAGCTCAGAATTGCAATTTTTTACAACCACCAATATCTCACCACCTCTTAGACCTATGCCATCACTCTCACTCACTCCTGTGGAGCACACACACACAGGCGCCCCCCCCCCACACACACCATCTCCTGAGGGCTCTTCTTTTCCAGCTTGATAAGCATTTCTCGTTTGTTTCAGCATTTTTGATCAATACAGTTAAAACGCCAAACCAAGCATAATTAGGTCTGAGATGGCTCCCACTGTGACTGAATAGGCTTCACCTAGGGAGGTGCTCACCATTATCATCATCACTCTACGTGTGTGTATGTGTGTGTGCGTGCATGTGTTCATACCACACACAGCGTGATCTAATAGAATTGACAAAGTGCACATCGGGACATAGATTAAAGGAGAACTCTGAGCTATAGGTTGATTTTAGCAGGTGATGGAGTTGCCCATTCAGCGTGCTTTCATTCACCTCCATCTTCATTCCCATAATCATTTAGACAACCTTTACAATGCATCTCTGCCAGCAGGTTCATTTCAATATGTTATAGGCTGCCTCAATCATTTTTTATTGGTTTATTTACTCAGAACTATACATAAATGGAGACGAGAAAGATCATAAATTGTCCACAATTACCATTATACACAGTGAAGTGACTCTCCTTTGTGCTATAATCCAGGGTGAAAACCTTTGTAAAATCCATCTTAGACAGTAAAGAAGGACGACTTTGCGTACTCGGGCACATTCACTCTCACACCCACTGCATTTACCCCTCATTAATACTAGAATAAACCTGTAGCTCCCTGTATATCAGTTTTGTGAACAAAATTCTGAATTTGATGCCCCCAAAAGTCCCTCTCTGCACAACCATTATCCTTTTATCAGCTGCAACTTCTTGTTTCTCATCATGTTATAAGGACTGGTGTACATTTTTCAATTCTCAAAAAATCCAGCTCTCATTCCTTTAGCAGTTACATCATTGATAACAAGTACTGAAATATTTCAAAGGCTGTAAGCAGCACAACTGCTCTTTCAACCTGCCTTTGCACATTTGAGTCGATAATGAACTGCTATCAATTTGCAGTTGACGTTCCAACTGTCCTTTATTGCTTCCTGCTCTTTTTGGGTTGAAGAAGAAGAGCAGTTTGTCTCCAGGGTCACTGCAAAACACTAGCAAGGGCAGATGACAGCGACAGGGTTATGTCAACGTAGACAAGAGTTTTCGTGGAACTGTCCCTTTAAAGAAAGAGCACAGGGAGAAGACATCTCAATTTTGATCACAGCCAACAAAGAGCTTAATATGATGTGTGTGTGTGTGTGTGTGTGTGTGTGTGTGTTTGGAGGCTTGCACAGGTGTCTGTGAGAGAGAGAGAGAGAGAGAGAGAGAGAGAGAGACCAAAACTGCTGCTGTTTGGGGGGGATCATTTCAGAGGCGTATGTTGGGCA